GTTACAGTGTGGAACCTCTCCTCTATAAATGGAACTTAGAAAATCTTAAATAAAATTTAATCCAATAGTATTTGAATGTATACATTTGAGGGAATCTATTTATGGGGTCTCTTTATTGGAAAAAATCAATTTTTGGTTTATGTAAGCATCACATGATACGATTCTAACCCATCAGAAAGATCATTTTATTCATTAAAATTTTAATTATTTGATTTCATTATAAATTGTATCAGGTACATGATGAGATTTGTATTTTTTAACTGCATTTTGTCCAGTAATATCTTTTCTATATAATATCTATACACCTTCAGAATTTTTGTACATATTATAAATAGTAATTAAAGAAATTAAATCTAAAACTTTAGGAACAGTTTTTTTAAGCAAAATTATAATGATTTACTATTTTTAGTATATTCTCAAATTTGATAGGTATAATTAAATACAGGAACAACCCCAGAAAAAGTTGATCAATTTAAGTCAGATAATAATTTTAACCATCAATTTCTCTATATACATATAGTAAATAAGTTTCAATGCAAAAAGATTGGACAATTTTTATTATAACCAAGTTCCTATTATAGAGGTTCCGCACTGTAGTACTTCAACATTGTAGCATTATTAGACGATATTTGTACATTGTTTAATTAATGATATTATGTGTCTTTGAATAAAAGAACATAACCAGTTTATGAATAATAAAAATGTTTGCTATCTCAATGATACATTTTATACTTTAAAAGTCCATACATTTGTTGCTTATTGTAATTTAATAAGATAATAATAGAATGTAGACATTATTTTTTAAATAATATATCTGTTTATTAATATAATAATAAGTTTTAAATTCAAGAAGAATCGGAATATAGACAACAGTAGACTAGAAAATTATGGAACTATAACCAAATTTATATGAACTTAATCTAATCATCCCATTCAACAGGGAGTTACACCAAGCGCTTCCATTTCCTCAGCAATAAATCTTTTATCATCTAATATAGGTTGATTATAAGAACTTTGGTTGCATGAACCATTTCTGCCGTCAAATTTTAAATCTCCATCTCCAAACTCTAGCATACAATCATGATCATAATAAGCCAATGCCAGAAACGAATTTACCGTAATTTGCCGACCCGACCAAAAGCCCCGGGGGTATTCTATTATTATAATTACTATAACCCATCTAAACAAAGCACCCTCCCCCGCAAAAAACATCCCCCGGGGTACATTTCATAGGGGGTACTTTGGTCGGCAAATTACGGTACTTATTTTTTTCTCATAATTTTCTCCAAATGAAAATATAAAATGATTTTGGTTATTATTTGAATATCTATAACATTCAATCTCATAACTATTTCTAGGAAAATGATACTAACCAGATGCATTAAATCCTCCAACGATTTTTCTGAATTTTGAATTAATTACTGCGATTGCTTGGCCTTGTCCATTAGCTTTTGAATAAAATGTATTAATATCATGCCCATCACGACTTTCACGATAAAGAAGTTGAAATTTATGGTGAAAATTTCGTGAACCTGCATTCATATAATAAATCCAATTATGAATGATACTCGCATATCTTCTTCAGATAATTTTCGATCCGGAAGATCTATTGAAAATCTTGAAGGCGCTGTGGTTCAGTCTTTAAATTGTCATACAATGCTAATGGTATAATTTTTTTGTATGGACAAACTTTGTTAAAGAAATCATTTGATGAAATCTAATATGTTGAAATAAAGAGATCTAAAGTTTTCTCAAAATCCTTGAAATTTCTTAACATCGTTTTGTTTTAATTGTGGGAGTTCCCATTTAATAAGATGATTCCAAAGATCATCCTGCCAATTAACCCTAAAAAGATATCTTTATCAAGGATTGAAAAATCCTCGGAGGCAAAGAAAGGATAAGGAACTGTACAGATAGACTCAAAGCAATAATTTCGAAGTTGTTTACAGCTTGCAAATTTTGACACAATATGCAAAACTTTAATAAGATTTTGGTTAAGCTAGGCTGCTTTTTAATAAGGTAGTTTTGAACATGTTCAAATAATTCTTCAAGAATCAGTTCATCAGATGCCACAAAAAGTTCGAGAATATCAGAACTAAAGACATTTGTTAATTCAAGAATTCCCGTATAGATATACCTATTTTATAGAGAATAATTATTTAATAATTTAAATATTAAAATTATATTATATTAAATGATAAAAATATAATCTTACTTGATTATCAAAGCAAACACGGAAGGTAAATAAAATCATCCCACCTTTTTTATCGTTAGCCCATTGATTTGAGAGAAAACTTTTGAAATAAGGGGAAAGTGCTCTCAAAATTGTTGAATATGCACGAAACTCTTGTGATTACTTAGAATTCTTAATAAATGCTAATATTTTTTCATATTTGAAAAATGAAGAATGTAACCATTTCCATTTTGAAAAATAAATGTTTGCTAGCTATATTTCTTCTAATGTTATCTCAATAATACATTTTTACAGCATCTTTTATCATTGGATTAAAAGTTCATTTTTACCATAATTTAGTAATTACTGCAACTTAATAATAATAATAATAATAATTAATTAAACTATATATTTTTAAATGATTCATCTTTATTTATTAATATAAAAAATGACATTATATTCTGTAGATTCTGAACACCGTAAAATTTTTTAAATGAAAATTGTAAAAAGAACTGAAGCTAATGAAATGATACCTAAAGGAACCACTAATCTGCATTCCAAGTATTTGCCAAAAATTGCATTAATATTTAAATATATCTTTATTTATGTGCACTATGGAAAAATTCCATAGATAAAATGTATAAATAAGCCTTTCTCATTTTTATGCCAACTACTGATCTTCTTTTTAATTACTCCATTTCCTCAGCAACAAAACTATTAACGTCCAGTATAGATTGATCATAAGAACTTTGGTTACATGAACCATTACTGCCATAAAATACCAAATCACCATCTCCAAACGCTAGCATACAATTATGACCATAATATAAGCCAGTTCCAGAAATAAATTTACCTATTTTTATCTCGTAATTTTCTCCAAACGAAAAGATAAAATGATTTTTATTATAATCTGCAATTCTATCATCATTATCATCATCATCATAATCCCAACCACCAATGATTTTTTTAGAATTTAGAATTTTAATTATTGCGATAGCTTGACCTTGTCCATTAACTTTTGAATAAAATGTATCCATCGCGGCTTCCACGATAAAGAAGTTGAAATTTATATTTATTTCACTTGGAAATTTTCGAATTCACATTCTTATAATGAATCCGGCTAGAAAGAATAGCTGCATGTCGTCTTTTAATGATTTTTGATTCAGAAAGGTCTACATATTGGTATGGCGAAAATCTTGCAGGCAATCTCCTATGCTGTGGTTTAGTCTCAGCCATTAAGAAAGACATTATATCGTCATACAATGCTGACGGTAAAACTTTTTTGTATGGACGAATTTTATTAAAGAAATCTTTTAATGAAATCTCGTAAAATCTAATATGTGAAATAAAGGGATCTAAAGTTTTCTTCAAATCCTTGAAATTTGCATCTGTAAATTTCTTAACGTCTTTTTGTTTAATTGTGAGAGTTTGATAAATTCCCCATATAATAAGATGATCCCAAAGATCAATTTCCTTAATTCCAAGATCATCGCGCTCAATTAACCTTAAAAGGATATCTTTATCGAGATCCAAAAAATCATCGGAGGTAAAGAAAGGTTCAGAGTCTGCACAGATGGACTCATAGCAATAATCTTGAAGTTGTTTACAGCTTGGCAAGTTTAGACGCAATATGCAAGACCTTAACAAGATTTTGATTAAGCCAGGCTGCTTCTTTTTCAATAAGGTAGTTTTGAACATGTTTGAATAATTCTTCAATAAACAGTTCATCAGATGCCATAAGAAGTTCGAGAATATCAGAACTAGAGATATTTGTTAAGTCAAGAACATATACCTATTTTATAGAGAATAATTATTTAATAATTTAAATATTAAAATTATATTATATTAAATGATAAAAATTAATTATAATCTTACTTGATTATGATTATTAAAGTAAACACAGGAGAAGAAATATTTGGTTTTGTAAATAAAATCATCCCATCTTTAATGTTATTAGTCCATTGACTCGAAAGAGCACTTTTAAAGTAAGGGGAACGTGCTTTCAAAATTATTGAATGAGCACGAAACTCTTGTGTATTTTGATTTTCGCCAACTTTAATTGTAACATTATAATCATCAGAAGTTGAGAAATACTTTGGGATAAGCCATTGTAGAATTTAGTTCGCAGCATGAGTAATTAATTAAGTTTCACTGTTCTAATGCACACATATATCTTCGGAATATTCGGCAATCGCGCACCATGATTATGTAATATTTATTTATAAATTAAAAATAGGAAGATTTTCAATTTTTCAAATTTTTCGCAATTTCTATTTTAACATAATAAAAAATTCCATCATTGAATGGTTCTTTAAATGGGAAAATACAACTTATAATAAAAAAATTGAGGATATTTTTGTCATATGGATCGGAAATTTTCAGATTCAATTTATTTTTTTTTAAGGTGGTTCGTCTATTTTTTTCAATGATGAGAATTCAGATTTAGTTTAAAGCTTCTTTTACAGATTAGGTTAGTTTCTAGTTGCAATACTTTTGTTCTGCCAACATCATTAATTTCGCGAATTCTATAATAAGTCATATTTGAATATTGTCGCGTGATTCGGAAAGCAATGGTAAAAAGCATGGTAAAAAGCACGGTTTACGTTATTCACACTGTTCAAAAATATTTATTTTATTTCATATTTTATAAAAATAATTTATTTATTAAAAAAAATAATGAATATAACTTTTCATTTACTAAAACTATACTACTAAAACTATAAAATATTAATAATTATTGAAAATATATCACGTGAAACGTGTGATATAATAATGTAATATCCAAAATTTAACTTGAAAAAAAAATTTAAAATTGGAGGGAATAAGGTTAAACTAAGAATGGAGAGGTTTCGCTTTCTTTAATCTCTTCAAATTCGTTGTTAGGATCATCATTATTGCTATCATCATCACTATCATCATCACCTGGTTCTTTATGATCTTCATCATCTTTGTGTTTTCTTTCACAAAGCAAAATTTCTACTACACGACCAATTCTTCCATGAAATTTCTTCAATAATTCTTCGTAATGTGCATTCTTATCTGAAGGGAAATTCATGGAATTTAAAAGTGCCACTTTTTCGGCTAATACTTCAGGGGTAAGTGGTTTATGATGACGATGACAGTGTGGACCACCATTATTATGACGAGGACGATGATGATGATGGTGCCTAAAACCATGTCCATGTCCACGTCCACGGAAACCTGGATGATGACCATGATGATGCCCACGCATGTGTGTACAACCATGTGGATAACTATCTGGAAAAGCGGGAAGGGAATGATGAGGACGATGAGAACCAGGAGGACGATGAACGGGAGGATCACGTTCTACACAAGGATCAATTGTATCTTTTTCACACTTTTCACCTTTATTACATTCTTTATCATCTTTATGATTTTCTTTTCCTTCCTTACAACATTCTTTTTCACGATTGCATCGAGGTCCATGACCATGGAATCGACCATGACCACCATGAAATCGACCATGACCAAATGAATCATGACCAAATGGTCCATGACCAAATGGTCCAATAAATTCACCACCGTGAGGACCGAATTCTTCAAATTCTCCATGATGTTTTCTGTGTAATTCATATTCGGGCGGAGCATATTCAGGTGGAGGATGGGATGGTAGATGTCCGTGAAATCCGCGAGGACTAGGTCCACGATTATGAGGAGGTCCACCATGATGGTTAAATGGACCAAACGGACCAAATGGACCGAATGGACCAAATGAACCTCCATGAGGTTGGCGGTGATGAGGTTGGCGGTGGTGAGGAGGGGGAAGAAATTCTGCACGTCTCAATGGACATCTTCCACTGGAATTTTCAAACGAATCAAATTTAGCGGATCCAAATCGAGGTCCACGTTTGGAACGGACGAAATAGTAAACTTCCGGATCAGAACTACTTTGTTCTTCTTCATCTTCGCAACATTTTTCATCAGAAGATTTATTGTTGCAGCATTTTTCATCAGAAGATTTTTCACAAATTTCATTCTCAGTTTCGGTTTCGGTTTCGATATCACAACATTTTTCATCATCAGCAATTGTCATTTTTTCGAAAGTTTCCTGTATTTCTTTATTATTGGAATTATTTGCGGTAGGAATAGCATTTAAAACTAGTCTAACAGGGGTATTGTTATCATTGGAATGATGATCAAGAACTTCACAAAGTTCAATATCACTGGAAAGTGTAATAACATCATTATCCTCATCAGTATATGAAGCGATGACTTTATAATTATCAGGAATTTTGAAAAGGGTACGCAAGTTATGCTCGAAAGTTGCCCAAGTAGAATCAACAGCAACATTAAATTTATGAACGGAAGCACCGTAAGTTACTTTAATCGCTACCATGTTTTTTAGTTTGTTTATAGCCAAAAAGAAATAAGAGTAGAAAAATGTTTGAAAATATTTTATGAGAGAGAAGTGGCGAAAAATGGTCCTTATATATTATATGTTTATCCGGAGTATTAATCAAATTAAGTAAAATAAGTCAAAAAGTCTTGGGGGGTTTTATTTCCAAAATCAGTTCTAAAAATGACACAATATGATGATTTGGGACATTGTTTGATTTTTTTAGACTAAGCCAAGCCGTTGATACGCTCCATCGGTTAAATTTAATAAGCGAACCGGACATTGTTTGTCTCCCAAATAAGTATCTTGCTTTAACAATCGGCATAGAATTTTCCTCAACTCAAAATAATGCCTCAGTATTACGTTACGGTAAATCTAGTAAATCAGTATTACGTTACAGTTAATCAAAGTATCGGTTAAATTTAATAAGCGAACCGGACATTGTATCCCAAATAAGATTTTTGCTTTAACAATCGGCATAGTTTTTCCTCAACCCAAAATAATGACTCACGTTACGGTAACATTATTATGTTACAGTAAATCAACGTATCGGTTAAATTAATAAGCGAACCGGACTTCCCAAATAAGAAATCGGCATAGAATTTTTCCTCAATGCCTTTGTCTTACGTTAGCCTCAATTACGTATACAGTAAATTACGTATACAGTAAATTACATATTACTACGCATTATACGTTATCAGTAAATCTAGTGTTGCGGTGTATGTATTACGTAATTTATTGTAACCAGAGTTATAAAAACGCTGCGGGATAAACCTTAATAATATTATCGATCATTATTATCATGGTAAATAAAAAAAATTAAATACAATACAAAGAGAAAAATGTACTGATATATTAATTATATTATATTACTAATATTTATTTTTTTAAAAAATAGGGAGTTCGAATTCAAACTTTAGAGGTTGGTTTATGATAATACGTTGTTTCTCCGTTATTCTTTTGTATAGATGAATTAAAAGTGAATTCTTAAATTTATAAAACTTTTTTTAATGTATAGGATGGTGATCAAAAGGTATGTGATTATTATTATTATTATTTTTTTAAAAAAAAAAATATTATTATTAATTATTTATTAATTATTTTTCTACGAATTTCTATAATTTCCATACAACAGAACTTTCCAAAAAAGGTAAATACTAAAAGATTAAAAAAATATTATTAATTGTAAAAAAGATTCATTAAACAAATTAAAAATCATTAATTTGTTGTTTTCTAGGGCGATACTATCAAAATTCATTGTAAATAATAAATAATAGAATTTCTTTTAAATATAAAAAAAATAAATGAGTAAGGTGAATCATTAAAAAAATATTTAATTATTTTATGATAGATGTCGGTAAATTAGAAAATGGCGAAGTTTTTGATTCTACTGAAAACAAAGGACCTTTTGAATGCAAAATTGGTATGGGTCAAGTAATCAGAGGTTGGGATGAAGGTAAAAAAAAATAATTAATTAATTAATAACAATTAAATAATTAAAATAATTAAAAATTAAATAATAATTAAATAAATTAAATTAAATAATAATTAAACAATAATAAATTAAAATAAAATATTCAAGGTGTCCCTAAACTTAGCGTTGGGGAAAAAGCAAGACTTATCATCACTCCAGATTATGGATATGGTGATACAGGATTTGGCAACATTGTAAGTTTTATTTATTTATTAAATTTATTTTTACTTTTTAATTATTAATAAATTTTAAAATTTAACTTATTATAATTAATTTATTATAATTTATTTTAATTTATTATTAGATTCCTCCTGGTGCAACTTTAATCTTGTGAGCAATTTATTTATTATTATTTTTTTTTTTTTTTGTTTGTTACTATTATTAACGAATTCTTAATTTAAACTAATGTTAAAATTATTATTATCATCATCACTTTTAGCGAAGTTGAACTTCTTAAAATCTTATAGATATTTGAATCACCGTTTCATCATCATTATTAAATAAAAAAAATCTATTACTATTATATTTAAAATTAAATTAAATTTATTATTAAAGTGAGAAAAGAATGAACACTGTATTCTTCCTTTGTTATTATATGTCACTACTCTGCAATAAATGAATTGCGATAATGACAAATTATATAATTGATTATTAAAATATTATGATATGAAATATAATAATCTAATGGAAAAGATTTCCTTCCTATATCCTAATCTTATTATAACTTTAGCACAAAATTAATTATGAAACAATAAATATGATATATACATATACATGTACATATATATTGTCAAATATATATATTCGATTCATTCTATTCAGCGATAAAATAATATTAATTAATATTTAATATGAATTTAATTTAACAGTTAAATATAAATTAATAAATTATAAATTATTATAAATTATTATTTTATTAATTTCTGTATCCTCGACTCGGAATGAATTTATTAAATATTGATGAACGTTATGTTATAGTTAATAAGGAATTACGATATAAAAAATATATTAAAACTTGTTACAGATATGAAGATATGACGTATAAATATTTTTAAAAAATAAGTTATTTTATTGGTTAAAACTTATCACGAGCGATCATGTGTAAATAATAAATTTTTGATATCGATTTTTTTTTAAAAAAATACGATATTTCCTTTATTTTTCATGCCATGTCTCAAAAAAAAAAAAAAAAGAAGAAATAGTGTATTTTACAGGTGGTCATTCTTTCAATGATATTTATTATAAGCACAATTATTACATTAGCATCGATAGTGGGTTATGTAATAAAGAACATTTTAATCGAGGGTTCGGTTTAGGAACCTCTAACGTTTAATGTTCAACTTGTATTGATTTATTCTTGTGAAGGAATATTATTGTATATCTTGTGGATTGGATTGAGTATTCAAGAAATAGAGGACAAAATGAATTGAGAAGATGATTAAATGGCACAAACGCAGAATAAACCTTACAACAACTACCAGAGACTATGGTAACAATATCTTAATTGTGGATGAATGAGAGAAGAAATATTGATATTATTGGTTTTTCTTGAATAATTATTGGTTATCAGTTTAAGTTTGTTGTATACGAAAGGGGAGAAAATGTAGTAATTAAGAATTCTTGTAAAATTTTGTATTTTTCAAGGTGATTATGAATATTTTTTATTAAAAAAAAAAAAAAAAAATTTAATCTTCACGGTTAAATTTGCATGTTGTAAGATTATGTCCTTTCTGCCCTCACTTGTATTGTCTTAATTGAATCTCATCATCTCTTTGAATAGAATATTAAGATCAACGGGTTTCAAATGATTCCTTCTTTATCTTGAATTTCAACAGCTTTTCGAACTGTAATAATTGGATTTGTTATCCAATTTCTTCATTAACAGTACTCCATTTTGACTAGTTAAAATTTCTCGTTTACTATTTAAGAAATCTTGACACATGCTAATTATTTCTTCATATGAATTTGTAATAAGTGTCAAATCTATTGCCTTTTCCATTATACCGTGCACACATTCCATATTTTAAATTATTATTAAATTCTTTTAAATTAGGAGAGTATATAAATCATCATCTCTTCTCTTACTGTTCTAAATTAATTCAAGATATGTCTATGATTAATTATTTCATTATCTGAAATATTAGTATTACGGAGACTAATAGGAATAACATTAGTATCATTGGTAATTTTATCATCTTTGTACCAATGATTAGAAATTAATCTAATATGCTGCCACTTTGCATTTGACGAAGTTCTTTTTGTAAAAATATCTACGGATATTCATGTGTAATAAATATAGTATAACAAGTACATCTGCTTATTTCTATAATTTTAGAATTTTAATCAGACAAAACATCTTCATAATTGTATTCACGTTCATGTATGCCTTCTTTATTAAAATTATGAGCCTTAATAAAATTGATTACTATTGGTTTGTTAACATAAATGCATCATAATAAAAAGTGAATATCACTTGAGGTATAAGATTTCCAGTAGACTTGCTAATTTTAATGCCACACAAAACTTTCTTCTATTTCAACTGCTATTACCACTAGACGTGTTCGATTACCAACATTGTATTCGTTGATATAACATCATGCTGTCATCACACGTTGTTCAGGTGACATCCTAACTAGACGCATAAACAATTTTCTATGAAACGTTGACTTTTTGAATATATTTTATGTACCTGTTGTATTATGAGATACATAAAAAATTAATAGAATTTCTATTAACAGTAATCATCTAATTTTCTATAGTGGGAGATATGAAACCATTGGTATGATTGGATTGTGTTCATTAATTACAGTTGTAATTGAATTGGATTTTTCCAGCACAACAGCATTCCCATGATATTTTTCGTAGCACCTTTAATTTCATTCTCAATTCCCTAATACGTCTAAATCCTTTTGAATTCTTTGAATAATTATTATTTTTCCATGTACATGTAAGAAATCATTTGTTCAACGTATAATTCTAATTCTGTTTTTTTTTATCTAAGTCACCTTCACCTTCACCTTCATCTTCATCTTCATCTTCATTTGAATAAAATAACTTTTGTAAATGTAATGTACACTTTTTTAGAAAAAAAAATAAATATAAAGAAACTTGATTTCACATGAACATGTTATTATGAACAGCCAATAAACAATTAGTAACATATTACCCCAGTTATTTTTTAATAAAAATTTTTTTTTTTAAAAAAAAAAATAAACTTTACTTTATAATAATAATACGATATACTTTATTATTAAATATATATACATATTCCAAGTCAATTTCGCTTATTATTTTTGTTATCTAAAAGTAAACAATATAAAAATAAAAAATAAAAAATAAAAAAAAAAAAAACCAAAAAATGTGCATGGGCGCTGAAGCAATACCGTAAACGGAGTTACCCCGGCACTATGCGTAAAAGTTTACCTGTTTACCTTTGTATATCCTTGTTTTCGCTCCAAAAAATAAATGCTTATATCATCTCAATACGCAGAAAATTTTGAGATGATGATACATATCAGATTGATAATAATAATTAATACGTGAGAAAGATGTTTTTTTATCCCCACAAAAAAAATATAATAATAGAATAAATAATAATAATAATAATTTGTTATTTATTTATTTATTTATTTCATTGATTATAAATTCTACTACCCAAAAACGCCACCCAAAATCAAAATACTTTTTAATCTTACGATTTGATTGATTTGGTTGGTCAAATTGCTTGGTACCCCGGTCGATGTGCTGTGCATTTTAACAAAAAAAAAAAAAGGTAAAAAAAAAATAAAATAAAATAATAATAAATAAATAATAAATAAATAATAAATATCTTTTTTTTTTCAATATTTATTAATTAATTAATAAATCGTGACCGTACGTAGATTCTTCTATTCAAGAACGCGTGTAAAAAAAAAAAAGGTGATTTTTTGTTAGTGAGTGACCCATTAAAAGGAATTCTATAATTCCGATTCTTATAGAGAATTTACTTATCTAGAATTTGCCTTTGGATTGTTTTGTGAGTGGGAAAAAAAAAAAACTAAAATAACCAGTTATCTAAAATATTATCTATTATTTTAAAGTGTAGATTAAATCACGAGTTACCGAATTATTTGATTGATTGAAATTGACTTTAATGGAAAAAATAATTATAAAATTAGTTATAACAATTACACTACATTATTATGTGTAGCGTATACGTACAAGTATATCATTTGATATTATTGATATTATTGATATTATTGATATTATTGATATTATTTACATAAAAAGTATATCCAACATAACGTATAAGTATATATTCACATACTTGTACACAGCATTAATAAATATATAAATATAATAATGATATTCATGAGAAAAAAAAAATGAACAACAACAACAACGAACAAAATATCAAAAGAAAGAAAGAAAGAACAACGAGAATATCATGAATAACCGGAGATTAATAATAAATAGGTAAAGGTTCTTTTTTTTCATTTATTTAACCAATCAGTTCAAAGAAACATAGAACATGCATTGTGTGGGAAACCCATCATCGACAATTCGGTTTGTAAATAACGTGTCGTGTATGGTGCAATGTTGCAAATTGGGTGAAATTTTGTGTGAAATTGTTTGAAATCGTATGGTATTTTTTTTTTTTATTATTATTATAATTATTGTGTTAAATTAAAGTTTGAAATCATGGGAATATTTTTTTATGTATTGATTATGTTGGTTGGCAGTGTCGTGTGACAAAAGATGGGGTAAGTACTACGGGAAATTTTTCATCAGATTCAAAATAATTTTAATAAATAATAATTTTAATAATAATTTTAATAATAATTTTAATAATAATTTTGATAATAATAATAATAATAATAATAATTAAGATGATTAAATTTTCCAATCATTTGTTTATTTATTTATTTATTTTCAACAAAAAAAAAAAATAATAATAATCCAAATAATTCAAAACACATACATGCAATCAATAATAACAACATCATCACCACCACTGAAAACTACAATTTTTTTAAAAAAAATTAATGCTAATAATAATAACTGTACTGTAATAGCTGTATAATAGCTTAATAATAACTGCCGTAAAATATTATTGTTGTAATAATATTTGAAAATTTAAAAAGAAAATAAAGAAAAAAAAAATAAAATATGTACAAATATGTATGTTATTTATATATTGTCTATAATTCTTTGTTCCTCGAAGAAAAAGAAAGTAAGAAAGAAAAGGAAAAAAGAAATAGAAGAAATAAAAGAAAAATGATAAGATAAAAAAAAAAGGATGAAAATGATAAAATACTAAAAGAAAGAATAACAATGTTCATATAATTATTTTTTTATAATCTAAATACTAGATTACATATATTAGATTAGATTATATATTTCTTTGTTTATATTATATTTTACTTTGAATAGCGTGTTGAGAGGAAGTATGTAAATGAGAAAAATTAGGTACACTCCCTCCATAATGAACTTCAGTAACACTTCTTGTACGAGTACGTTGAGGAGCTGGTAAAGGTTTAATGATTCCTTCCTGTTTTCCAATATCAGCCATTGTTTGAAGAATCGGATCCTTTAATAAACGTTCAACGAATGTATCACGACGACGACGTTTTGAAGAAGAAGAAGAAGGATGGTGATGGTAATGATTAGATGAAGGAGAAGAAGAAGAAAGTGGTAGTGATGATGATAATAAAGGATAAGTATGAGAACGAATAATATCTGATCTTAATTGAGGAACTTCCATTTCTTTTGATTTTTTTATAAATTTATAATTTTTTATAAATTTTTTATAATTTTATAATTTTTATAATTTGTTGATAACTTTAAATTTTTCAAATTGTTCCTTAGTTTGTTATTTAATCGGAAAATTATCGTCAAAGTAGTAATTATCTTGAAACAATAATAATATATGAAATGATATATCAAATTATCTTTAAAATAATAATAATAATAATATATCGAAAATAAGATAATGGAAATAATAATATATCGAAATTATTAAAAGTTAATTGTGGTAAAATAATAATTTTTATTATTAGAGAGAAATAATTAATTATAACCAAAGAAAGAGTGAGAAGAAAAAAATGTCAACAAAAAAATCAAGGTCTAAAAACTATTGATGTTGGTTATATATATAATTTATTTTAAACCAATCTCGCTTATCACTTCCATCAATTATTTGTCAATTACAGTTATTACAGTTTTGTTATAGTTTGTGTACTTTATAATACATGATATATATATATATATATAACATAAATAACATAATACACTTTATACATATAAAGTACATAAAAGAAATTTTATTGATATAAAATTATCGATATTTGATACATTTGAGATATAATATAAAATGATATAATATGCAATAATATGTAATATAATATTCACACACACAAAGTAAATTCTAAAACTGTATTAACATAAATAATATATGTAATATCAAGATTTTATTTTATACGAAAAAGTATATGTATACATACAAAAGTATCTACAAAAGTATACAAAAGTATACAAAAAAGTGTAAATGTAAAAGAAAAGAATAAATGATGATTAGTGAATGTGTTGATCATACAGATCATACGTACAATTATTAATTTATTTATTTATATTATTATTATTAAAAAAGTTATTTTCTCTTATCAATAAGTAATAATAAATAATAATAAATAGTAATAAATAATAATAAATAATAACTTATAATAACAGATAATAACTGACTGATAAATAATAAAAAATAAATAATCATCAAATAAAATACATCGAGAAAAAGAAGAAATCTAAAAAGAAAAAATGGATGATAACCTTACCTTATATATATAAGCTTGATATGTTAGATTGGGCGGCGTGGTGAATAATGTGAATAATGTGAAGAAATTATAGAAATTATTTAAATGTATTTTGTGCGAGTCATCTGATGGAATTCTTTTAAACTTTGTTTTAATTAGTTTTAAAAATTAGTGTGAGAATGCGAAATGTAAAAAAAAATGATTTCTTCAAAAAAATATTTTTTTAATTTTTTGGGATTACATGATAAATTAATTGCGTATTTCTGTATTAATTGTATTAAATTATAAATATATTAATTTAAATTCTATGTGGAATTTTGTGGAATTTTTTTGAGCCATGGAAAAATTATTATCATTATTATTATAAATCATTATTATTATTATTATTATTATATTATAAATCATTATTATTATTATTATTATTATTATATTATAAATCATTATTATTATTAATTATTTACTATTATTATTTATTATTTGCTTTCTATATTTTCTATTTATCATTCTTTCATTCTCCTCGCTCTATATTTTTCTTTATACTCCTTCATTTACACCTCCTTCTCCTCTCGTAAACACACAAAACAGCATTCACCACACTTTCATTGGACGCTTTCGTATTTATTCATTTTTTTTATCATATCTAAATCAAATTATCATCTATCCCTTTATAACCTTTCTATTACTTTCTATTAGTCATTGTTTTTTTCTTTATATTAAATTTTTTATTTTATTTTTTCATTCGTTTATTGTCATCCTATCATGTAGATTGCATTCATTTATAATATAAAAAAATTTCCGTGACTTTCACAATATGTTATGTTACTACTACACACATATTTTTAATACCTATTATGCTATGTTATATCCGATATTTAATTTCATTTATATTTTATATATATTATTTATATATATCATTTATTTATTTATTTATTTATTTATTTATTTATTTTATTTATATTTCCTATCATTAAAATTAAATGTGCATCCATTACTACTTGGTCTGCATACATATATATTTATATTATTTGGTATTTTTATTCATGTACGGTATTTTATTCTTCAAATATGCGTTGATTTGTCTTGATTTGTCTTGATTTGTCTTGATTTATACTTTGGTGGTCCTTGATTTGACTTGATCTTTCTTGGCTTTTGTATTTGATTTGTCTTGCTTTACCTTGTTCTCATTCTTGATTTCATCTTGTTTCGTCTTGTTTTGTCTTGTTTCGTCCCATTTTTGTGTATGTTTTCAGATGATTTTACGTTTTATATATATATATATATATAACTTGTGATACAAATTTAGTTGTAAATTACTTAGATTTTCTGATACATAACTGTACATACGTACATGTATTATATATCTATCGGATCTTATTTATTATTAATTATTAATTAATATTAATAGTTATCACCATTTTGGATGCAAATATATATATATATATATATAATAACAACGCATGTCCGACATCACGATATATATTTATATTATTTTTCTTGATAATCATTATTTATACACCATACACGTTGCAGCTAATAAGCATAATAAGTAAAAAGGTTATAGTCCAGGTGATTAAGAACGTGTCGATCAAGGAGGTGTTCTACATATTTTTTTTTCGTTATCAAAAAAAAAAAGAGGTGAAAAAAAGAACGGAATGAATTAGTGCATTTTTGATTAATTGAATGAATGATTTTGACACGTGATAAGAGATTTTCATACGTGATTATCTAACAAAATTAGTAATTTATTGATATTGATAATGTGTATTATTTGTTTTCGTCTCACGAAATAAAATTAATAAATTAAAAGATTATTGTTTTTGAACTGAAAAAGAGATCAAAGATAAATAAGATAAATGAAAATATCATTTTTCATTTAATGTAAATCACTTAAATCAAATCATTTAAAAAAAATAAAATAAATTTACAATAATTTACTTATATATACTGTTAGAAATTTTCTAGAGTTTCAGGAGATCGTTGAATATTATATTATAGAAATCTGTTGTCAATTATTACAATTGTTACGAACCTAATTTATTCTAGATCATAGGACGATAAAAAGTATATATATATATATATTATATATATTATATATATTTATTTTTACTGTTATTGTTTTATCTTAGCGTGCATATTTTTTTAATAATTAATATATCTTTATTTGGTTTAAATCTTATACACATGTATATGCTATATATTCTTTATTTATCTACTGATCTCATAAATTATTATTATTAATTATTATCATTATTATTAATTATTATCATTATTATAATTATTTAGAATTGCTCGCGTAAAAATATGTCGGCCGCCGAATTTATTATTAATTAAAAATTATGACAACAGCAAAAAAATTATTAAATCCCCCCCAAAAAAATGCATATTGTCTGCAGAATCATCAATTTATATGCGTAGAATATCAACCCTAAGCACATTAATTAATAATTTTAATAATTTGCTCTCTCAAAACGATAACAAAAAAAACTTTATTTGTTAAATCATCTGATTCATGTTATTTCTGCTATTTCAATCAGTCCAAATTAATAGTACAGATATTTAGAAAAGAAATTTCACCTTTCTAAATTAAAATAAATAGTTCATTCTTCATCAATCTTATCATTCTGCAATGATGCACGCATTTATTAATCACTTGCTGTTACTTCTTTCAAAGTGATGGACCTTATCGAACTTTTTTTTCAAAAAATATCTTATAATGGAAAGAATTATCAATCTTTTTTCTTTTCCATTTATTATTATTATTTACAAACAATTTTTTTTTTCATTATCATATTAATTTTTAGAATTAAATATATATATATATATTGTATTTATTTGTGTTTCATTTGTTTCTAAATTTGAATATGGGTTTAAAGTTCTTAAAAAAGATGTTTTTGTCACCATGAAAGTTCAAATATTTCCAAAAAAAATAATTCCCGACATTTCATTGAACATTATTGAATATCATTGATTATCGATTGGCATTGAATATTATTAGAATATTTCGTATTAGAATTTTTTTTTTTTTTTTTGCAGAATGTGAAACAAAAGAACCTTCTTTAAGAAAAAAAAATTAAATGAATCGGTGACATTTTTATAAAAAGGAATTAGAAAAGAAAAAAAAATCATTAGACGGAACGGAAATAAATAAATGAAATATTATAAATGATAAATTAATAATTCTTAATTAAAATTAGGAAACTTGGAGGGATGCAAGATAAAATGCAGGAAGAACAATAGAAAATCATTTAACCGAAAATTTATTTAGAAATGGTAAGTCAATAGAGCAAATAACGTGAAAAAAAAGATTAAGATTTTTTTTTCCTCTTCCAAGGCACTTAAATAGATAGATGTTGGCTTGCATATATGCAATATTAAGTGTGTGAGAATAATTTAACACCATTGCGTCTCCTTTTTGTATCTATAAAGTAAAGTTATATGACTTATATGCAAGAAAGCGGAACATTGTTATGTATATACATATATTTATTTTTAACATGATATTAATAAACGCATGAAAACTTTTGAAATTCACTTGAAATCATCTTAATTCTTTCCTATTATCATTAATTTGCTTTAAATTGCTTTAATTATTTGTCGTTATCGAAATAAGAAAAGAAATCTCAAAAAAAATTTTTTTTTATCAAAATAATAAAATATTTACACAAGCAATATAACTAAATAAAATAATATCAAAAAAAAAAAAAAATCCCAAAAAAATCCAAATCTTTGTAAAAAGTCATACCAATCAAGCTTTTACGCTTGAAGTAGAATCAATAAATACCGTTAGTCATGTGAAACAACAAATCCTTGATCTTACAGGATATGAAATAATCACCCAAAAACTTTATTACTTCGGAGATCTTTTAGAAGATAAATATTCATTAGATCGTTATAACATTCAAAAAGATTCCACATTACATTTAAAAATTGAAGTACGAGATGTTATGAAAATAAACATCGAAATTAAAGATTCCGAGAAGAAGGTGATGATTGAAGATAGTCGATTATCGATAGAAGTCGAAAAATCCATGACAATTGAAGAATTAAAACAAAAGGTTCAAAAATTACATGGATTTCAATCTAATTCTCAAAGTTTTTATTTCTTTGGTGTACATTTGGAAGATTATCAACGATTAATGGATTATAAAATTCAAAATGATTCTAATTTACATCTTTCTTTATGTTCCGGTGGATGTAATATGAGAATTTATATTGAAATTAAAAAAGGAAAAGTTTTAAAAACCTCTAGTAATCGAATAATTAATACTCCAACAACTAGTAAAATCATTACTCTCGAAGTTAAATCATTTAATACCATCGCTCAAGTGAAACAAAAAATTAAATATTCGGAAGCGGATATAAAATATCTTTTCTATTTTGGTGAACAATTAGATGATAATCTTAAACTTTGGGAATATAACATTCAAAATGAATCAACGTTACATGTGAGATTTTATTATAGTAAATATAAAATATTTGTAAGAAATTTCTCGGGACAATTTAAAAGTTTATTGGTGAATTCAATGGATGACATTTATCAAGTGAAAAAATTAATTCAAGAAATAGAAGGATTCCATCCAGATCAACAACGTTTAATTTGGGCAGGTAAACAATTAGTGGACGAAAACACTTTGGCAGATTATGGAATTGAGAAGGAATCAACAATTCATCTCGTACCTCGTACCACTTCACGTCTAACTAAAAAATCATAACTTCATTGCATTGTTTTTATTTTATTTTATTTATTTTTTTTCTTTGGTATTTTTTTTTTTTTGATCATCACGTGATATATTTTTGGGAAATTTTTTTATAAATATTACACTTTTTAAAAATGTTAATAAATTTAACTAAATTATAGAATAGATTTTTTTCATTATACATTATAGATATAGATATAATATATTGCATTGTCAAATAATTAATTGAATAGTCTAGTCTATATATATAACTGATCTTCAAACCATGTGAGTACATAAAAAATAGTTTTGCATAGAAAGATTCTTAATAAAAATATAGACATGAACACATTTGAATTTAAATTTAAATTTAAATGAACTTGATAATGACCATTAATCAATATTTTATTTTATTCACATTTTGTGGTGTGGTTATATTTTAGTTGTATTTGTTTGTATATTCAGAATTTCCTCACTAATCTTTTTTTTTAACTCTAAATATATTATTCTAAATAAATTCTAAATATACTCTAAATATATTCTAATAATATTCTAATAATATATTCTAATAATAGATTTTAATAATATTTTAATAATATTCTAGTTATCTAATTTTTTCAAATACAAAATAACACTTACACTAAATACTTCCATTTCTTCAGCAACAAAATTATAAACATCCATTATAGATTGATCATAACAACTTTGGTTACATGAACCATTTCTGCCATCAAATCTTAAATCTCCATCTCCAAATTCTAACATATTTTCTTGACCATAATATATACCATTTGATCCTTCAACTAATTTACCAATTTTTCTTTCATAATTTTCTCCAAATGAAAATATAAAATGATCACGATTATGATCAGTATATCGCCTATAATTATTATATCTATTATAATTATTATATCTACTATAATTATATCTATTAGAATTGGTATAATTATAATACTCATAATTCCAACCCGATGCATTAAATCCTCCAATAATTTTTTCGGAATCTTTAATTTTAATTACTGCAATAGAATGACCTTTTCCATTAACTTTTGAATAAAATGTTCCAATATTATATCCATCACGACTTCCACGATAAAGAAGTTGAAATTCATATTTTTCCCCGATAACTGTAATTTCACTAATCCATTTTGAAATAATCGCTGCATGTCTTTTATTAATAATTTTCGATTCAGGAAGAAGATCTATATATGATAATCTTGCAGGTAACCTCCTATATTTTGGTTCGGATCCTGTTAAAACGAATGACATTATATCATTATGTAATGATTCCGGCAAAATTTTTTTATATGGACGAACTTTATTAAAGAAATCTTTTAATGAAATCTCATAGAATCTAATATATGGAATAAATGATTCTAAAATTTTTCTTAAATCTCGAAAATTTGAATCCGAAAATTTCTTAATATCTTTTTGTTTAATTTTGGGAATTTGAGAAATTCCCCATTTAATTAGATAATCCCAAATATCAATTTCCTCAATTCCAAGATCATCACGCTTAATTAATTCCAAAAGACTATGTTTATCAAGGTTTGGAAAATCTTTGGAAGTAAAGAAAGGTTCAGGATCTGAACAAATAGGTCCAAAGCAAATTTCTTGAAGTTGTTCACAGCATAGAAGTTTAGATACTCTAAATAATACCTTAACAAAATTTTGGGTAAGCCAGACTGTCTCATTTTCAAGAAGGTAATTTTGAATATGTGCCATCAATTCTTCAAGAAGTAGTTCATCTGATGCCACGAGAAGATCAAGAATATCAGAATTATTGACATTTGTTAAATCAAGAACCCCAGTATATATATACCTAATTTATATGGATAATTATATAATTTAAATATTAATATTATATTTATTATATATTAATATTATATTTATTATATTAAATAATAATAAAAAATAAAATAAAATAAAAAATTTAATTTATAATCTTACTTGAGTATTAAAGTAAATACAACAGGTGAAATATTTGGTTTCGTAAATAATATCACTCCATCTTTTTTATTGTTTGCCCACTGATTTGAAAGAGCACTTTTAAAATAAGGGGAACGCGCTCTTAAAATCATTGAGTGTGCACGAAACTCTTGTATATTTTGATTTTCACCAACTTTAATTGTAACATTATAATCATCCGCGTCATCAAGAAGTTGAGAAAAATTTTGAGATAAGCTAGTAAAAAATTCAGTACGCATTTTATTTTATTTTTTTAAAAAACTCGACTCGGATGACGTATGTTATTTATTCTAGGTAAAAATTAGAAATAAAAAATTGAACACAAATTTTTTTTTTTTTTAATCAAAAATAGGAACACCCCTAAAAATTACTAAAAAAAGGTAAATAGATAAAAAGTAGTGTCACAATGAATATGGGATAAGTAGATAAAAAAACTTCTTTCTTCCTTTTTTTTCTTTAAAATAATAATTATAATTTTATTCAATATTATAATTTCTTTTTTTTTTTTTTACTAAACATTTGGTTAAGAGTGATCCGCTTTTCTTTAATTTTAGTAATCATCATCAAATACAAAAAAATTATTTCTTCACTTCTATGATTAAAAAAATTAAAAGATTTTTTGAAAAGCTTGATCAGTTTTATTTTTTTCCTTCGAGTGGCGCAGTGGATAAAGAAAATAATCCAATAAACAATAGAAATTTAGTCTAATAGATTATAAATTATTAATCAATCTAATCATATATAATGCCTACTAATCAAAAAACGAAAAATTCTCGTGGAAAACGAATCCAAACATCTACGACACTTCAGTTTGCACCACCAAATTGGTTTTTAAAATTATTCCGGAAAGGTTCAAATAATTTGATGTCATTTCCGCGTGAATCAAATTTTAATTTTCCTTGGGGATCAAATCTTTTCCCAAATCGAATAATTTCAAAAATATCTTCATTACCTTTTATTTTTCCAAAATTATTATTTATTTTTTTATGTGCAGGAATGGGTGCGGCAATACCATTTTTACCAATTTTTTATAGTTCTTCTTTAAATTTATCATCAACACAGATTGGAATTGTATTCTCAATTGCTCCTTTCGTTTCAGCTATAAGTTGTCCTCTTTGGACAGGATTAGCTGATAGATTTCATTCACATCGATTAATAATAGTCACTATTTATAGTTTAGCGACCTTGGGAGTTATTAGTCAAATGATATTGCCTAAAATTATTAATATAGATAATAATAGTTTAAAAATGTTTTGTGTATTGTTTGCAGCTTTATGGTTCGCTTTTTTCGGAATACCTGTTAATGCTTTGGTTGATAGTGGAGTAATAAAAATTCTTGGTGATAAAAGAGAACTTTATGGTGAGTCTTTCTTTTTTTTTTTTTTGTTAATTAAAATTAAAAAATGATTTATCTAATATATATATATTTCATCTCTTTTATATATATTTAAAAGGTCAACAACGACTTTGGGGATCTATTGCATATGGGGCAAGCACTTTGGGAGTTGGTCTTTTATGGAGTATCACGAATAACATTAATGTCGTTTTTTACTTTTTCTTTGGCACGGCTCTTTCATTTACAATAAGTACATTATTTACTGATTTTAATTCAAATGAAGATATTGAAGAATTTCTTATACGTCCTCCCAAAGATACTACTTTTAAATCATTAATTGATCTTGAAGATTTTGATAACGTTGGAGAATCAAGTACTAGAAATCATTATCAAAAATATGATGATTTTGATACAAGAGCTATTAATGTTCCATTTAATATTGATGAATCTGATGGTGAAGATTCTTCCATATGTGAAGATGATGATGATGACGATGCAATTTCGGTACCTGACTTAGATATATTAGCATTTGCACCAACTTCACCTAATTTGGCAACCGCTTCTCTCGCAGCTAATCCCATGGCAGCTTTGAAAACCTTGTTTTCAAATACTTCGGTTGCAACATTATTAATTGTTATGCTTCTTATGGGAACTGCACTTTCTATGTGTAATTCATTTTTATTACTTTTCCTCAGTCAAGAATTGAAAGCTAATTCAACAATTTTAGGATTAACAGGTCCACTTAGCGCAATTACGGAATTATTATTTTTCTTTTATTCAAAAGAGGTAATTATTTTTGATATCAATAAATGTTTTATTTTATTTTTATTTTTACTTTATTTTATTCTATTTTATTTTATTTTTTTTTTATTTTTATTTTTATTTTTATTTTTTATTTTTTATTTTTTATTTTTATTTTTTATTATATTTTCTAACTATTTATATTTTCTTTTTATTTCATTTTTATTTTAGTTAATTTCTCAATTTGGAATTGGTTTTTTGGTTTCATTGGCTCACATTGTGACCATTGTTCGATGTGTTACATATATATTTTTACAACCTACAACATTTTCATATGTGTTGGCACTTTTGGTTCAACTTCTCAATGGTATCGGATTCTCTGCTCTTTGGGTATCCGGAGTTATGCATGTGGCAAATAATGCACCGCACAACTTAATTTCATTCTCTCAAGGTGTAATGACAGCTTTGTATGCTGGTATTGGTACAGGTTTTGGCAGTTTGATTGGTGGGTTATTGTATGATAGTGCTGGTGGACCAAAAGCTATGTTTGGAGGTGTCGTAGCTATTAGTATATTGAGTTTAGCAATGTATTGGTGGGGAGAAGGTGGTTTCAATATTAACATTGATCATTTTGGAGGAAAACGGCGTCAACGTGATACTAAATCACCTTGGGAAGGTATTAATGAAGCACATACCAACTCGACTCGAAGAGGTGTTTTGTCAGTTGAAACTGCTCGCACGAAAAAGGGCAGATATGAAATGTTATTACAAGATGATGATGATGATGAACAATATCATTATGGCGTTTTTGGAGAGGGAAGATTATAATTTAATTTTATTATAATTTTTTATTGTTTTTTTTTTTTTATTTATTCATATTTTAAATTTTAAATTTTTAAAAATGCATTAATTGAAAATGTTCTAATACTATAATTTAATACATACACATTTTAATTAGATATACTTATTTCCAAAAATTATTTAGATATTTTAATTCTTAATTAATTTATTAGAAAGTTTATATTAGTAATAATTATTATTTAGTGAAAATAAAAAAGTACACGTGAATTGTTATTTTAAGAATCTATTTACGTATTTATTTATTTTTTAATATTTCCAAAAAGAGTCACAATGGAAATTATATTCAATGTTATGTCATATGCAACTAATTCTGCTTATAAATAGTTATTACTTAATGAATGTTCGATTTATATTATATACATTAGTTTATCATACATCAATAACTTAATTACCCACGATGCGAACTGAATTCTATTCTGGCTTATCTCTAAATTTTTCTCAACTTCTTGAAAACGCTGATGATTATAATGTTACAATTAAAGTTGGCGAAAATCAAAATACTCAAGAGTTTCGTGCACATTCAACAATTTTGAGAGCACGTTCCCCTTATTTCAAAAGTGCTCTCTCAAATCTATGGGCTATAGATGGGATGATTTTATTTAAAAAACCAAATATTTCCGCTCCTGTGTTTACTTTAATAATCAAGTAAGATTATTATTTATTATTAATTTTATCATTTAATATAATTGTAGTAGTTAAATCTTAAATAATTATTCTCTATAAAAATAGGTATATCTATACAGGAGTTCTTGACTTAACAAATGTCTCTAGTTTTGATATTTTTGGACTTCTTGTGGCATCTGATGAATTAATTCTTGAAGAATTATTTAAACATATTCAAAAATATCTTATTGAAAAAGAAGCAGTCTGGATTAACGAAAATCTTGTTAATGTTTTGCATACTGTGTCGAAACTTACAAGCTGTAAAAAACTTCAAGATTATTGTTATGAATCC